TGACCGACAAGCTGCCACTGTGCGAAGGTTTCTTGTCCCTAGCCGCCTCAGTGAGAAAGAGAGGGGACATATCCCGGTGAAGCATAAAATTTACGGCTACATGTTTATTATTTTTGTTAGTTAAAGCGGATACCGGGTTCTTCGTGAATTTAGTTTCCTGTTAGCCTCCTCACAAAGGAGGAAGTAAAAATTTGTGCTCGAAATTTTCTCGAACCCACCAGTAATCCTTGGTCCAAGAAGGTTGCACTCAGGACCTGATGATCCATCCTTTTAGCCTTCCTCCAAATAATTGTATGTCGTACTGTTTAATTAATTATTTAATCACCTTTATCCCGAGTTCAGTTTACCTCTCGATCCTTTTAACTGCTTAATTAGTTCGTCCTGTCTGTTCAAGCCAAGTTGATCGGCCTGATACTTAAATTGTGGTGACAATGACCTACCGGCCATCACAGGCCTATCCGCTTGACCAGTCTTTGGATTGAACAACAAGAAATTAAGCTGAAAAGCACTGAAAAGCATTAAAAAGTTGAAACTGCTTGATGTCGCGCAATGTACATTTCCTATAGCTTTCTTGTCAAGCTGGAGCGCGAGGGATTGATTTTGTTGACAATGGACACATTGTAGTCATGCTGCTTATTGACCCCACTAAGATCTTTGACTATAAGAGGCATTCTCGACTAGAAATACAAGTGAAACCTTGTGAAATATGTAGTTAGTCCTTTTTAATTGAAAGAGAATATGTTGTAAGCGTGCATTTCAACATTTAGATTGGTCGAGATGTTTTGTAGCGACGTACTATAAAGATGCCTCCTGGCGCGTCTGAAATTTGCAATCGACGAAAATGATTAGCCAGAGGTTAGTAAGTTGTGTTTGCTCTTATTTTTATTGTCCTTATCCTAAAATTGCTCTGTACTTCTCTGGTGGTCTTGAGACATTGCAAAGGGCTCAGCATAGACTACGGGGCTAGTCTATTTTCTTTCTGTTGTCTATACACTATGCGACGTTTACGGTGCTGTGTTTTAAAGAGCTTAATTTCTGCATTCATTTGCCATTGGTTAGTGTAACAATTCTTACGTTAATTATAACGGTAAAATATTTGTCCACACTGTTCTGCCTGTCACTTAGGAAACAGTTGATAGTAAAACAATTAACAGTTTCTGAGGTTGTGGATTACCTGAAGGATTTTTGGTGACACAACCATTGGTATGGTTTTTACAGTTTTTACAGTTTTCGTGCAAACCCCATCTATAAAAATGAGTCCAGGTATGCCTACAGAACAATGCCCTAAAAATGCTGAAGCTAAAAATATTCTTAACAGCGATAATCAGCTTTCTTTGGCCACACGGAGAATAATTATGCTCCGAAGGTTTAACTGTTTGGGTATGTATAAAATTAATTAGCGGAGGTTGATTGCGTATTTGTTTCCTGCCTACTGCATTCCCACGAAAATTTGCCTTGAATTAGCCAGGTCAGTTGATCTCGACACGCAGTAGATCTTTTCGTGTGTATTCCATAAACCTGCACGGAGGTGCCTCCGATCTATCGACGTCATGAATAGACGATAGCTGTGGGTGGGAAACACAGCTAGCTAGTGAACCGCCATCTAAAAGTGATAACAGATATTATAGTGTACAAAAACTAGAAGGTAACTTTAGGCTATCTACATAATATGTCTAAGGTAAGAAATCGTGGCTGGAGAGGCACAGAAACACACAGCACAAATATCACTGCTTGGCTTTTCACTATGTCCGCAAGTGTTTCCAACGGGCTTTCTTCAGCTTTCTCCTAACCCAGCCCGGCAGTCGAAATATACTGACCGACACCCAATTTAAAGCACAAATTTTCCATTTCATCTAACTTATCTTTTGAGCTCCTCTCTCTTTTATTCATACAGTAACGCACAGTGCGAAAGTCCATCTGCCAACTTGCGAAAACGCCTGCGCTGTTGGGGTCTTACGCCTGATATAATGGTGCGGTGTGTTTTACCAACTCAACCTGCACTAAATACACAGAGCCGAACAATTTTACCGGTCACGCGGTGTCCTCATACTACATTAGCTAAGCTATAAAGTCAGCGTTGATTCAATGGAATAAGCTTGTCTGCCTGGTGGGTCAACTTTTGCAAGAGTACAGTAGGGTTGAATGCAAGTATGCATCGTAAACCCTGTTCTTTAGAGCAAGGGTCCTGTAGACTTTGGGCTACAAGTGGCGAAAACTGGTAAAAGCGCTTTGTGCTTTTCCTATACGGCTCGGGACCACTTATATAGCTGCTTAGATACTTAAATCACTTAACGACCTCTAACTGCTCATTGTTAAGGGCAAGCACTAACGCTGGTTCCTGCCAAACTTGCGGATGGAATTTAAATTTAGGGGAGCAAAGCATATGCCAAATCTGCCTGTTGATGCAATATTCCCAGTGTTGTTTGGCGCGGTTTGGAGCTACCACCGATAAGTGCAATAACGTAAACGTACTGCAAAACAAGAAGCAATTTGCCAAAATCATTTTCAAAAGTTATAAGTCGTATCCAGCAGGCGCCCTTTTATTTGTTTCAAACACAGAAACATCGAATGGGAAGTTGGCAGTAAACATCCTTCTCTCGCACTGCTGCAAATAATTAAGAGCGGTAACAGTTTGACATTAACCTTTAATTTAAATAAACTGTCTTTAAAGCACTCTTATGCCAACTTCATATTAATCAAGCGCCACTTTGCTGAGCAGACGGGCTAAAAGTGCACATCGCTCCACCAAATTGAAGTTAACTTTTCTGCCGAGAAACACAGCAAATTTTGCTTGCAGCAGGCAGCCGCTTATCGCAGGTACTTATCTAATAGTTGTGGCTATAATATATATGTAAAGGTATGTGCGTGACTTAGATGTTCATGCGTAGCAAAAACAAATGTTTTTCTTATCCTAACTACATCCGTTCTTCTAACTTACATCTCCACTTTCCCAAAAGCCTAATATTATTCTACTCTTAACGGAAATCCCAAACCAATGTAAGTTGACACTAGCTTGCCTACATGTACGGTGTGTGTATGTGAGCGTTAGCAGATTTTATGCGTGTAGTTCCTTAAAGCAACAGATAGCACTGATTTACATGTATTCGCTTAGAAACGTACAGCGTATGCTAGGTCACCGCTAACTAAGTAAAGTCTCGTTTTCTCGTCAGATGTAAGGTGGCGAATGGCTCGAGCGAGGCAAAAGTTAATGTAGCACCAAGTTATGAAAGCAGTGACAATCAGACTCGGTTATATTAGTTCGTCTCACTTTCCAGGTGGTTGTAAGCTGAAGCAATTGATGTTCGGCAGGAAACAGTGAAACGTCTAAATTGCAGTCGGTGCCAATTGCGTATCTGCTGTTTTCTCCTGGTAAGATTGCCACTTTAAGGTGTGTTTGGTGCAGAATTATCCGTGGTAGGTTGACTAAACATGACGTAAGGCAGTGCAAGCAGAAAGGAAGATATCAAGCCGATGCTACGTTATCTTTGCCTAATATGCAGCTGCTTGTGTCAGAACGTGGTGGGTTATTTCCTGTCAAGCGTTTTCCCAATAAAAACAACAACACTGCGACTTGGCGGACGTGACGCCAATTAAAAATGTCACAGCCAATCATTTCACAATGACCCAGTCATCAGACTTCTACATGCAGCCACTGCAACCGACTTGGTTATGGGTGAATGCCTTGATGGGGCACCGAACATTTACATTGGCTCTCGTGCTCACGTTTTACTTGGATATTGACACAACAGTTGTCACTTTGAATTTGCTTCGCCTTAACGCTTTCCTTTTTCGGAGTCTCAATAGTACCTGACAAAGGGCTGAATCGTAGGAACTATGAACATTCGCTTATAATTTTCATGAAAGTGATATGTTTAATATGTCAAAACAGCGATTATTTTATGCATAGTTGATCATACCTTCACCGCTGTGCCTTGTTGTAGCAAGAATAAACCATATATTTATTTATTTATTTATGTTGTGGACAAGGTGTAGACGCCTTGACCCAGACTGTTTGTTTAGCATATACAAATTGTTTTAGGTTCACTTTCTATCCCCCATATTATTCTTCGTTTCGCAGGTCACTATGGTGCCAAAGCAACTAAGCATATTTTCGGATGATTGATTTGTTTCTGATGCTAAGGCTGATAGTTTACGATGTTTATTCTGCCAAGTTTCACTACTTTGGCACACCAGGGATATTTAAAACTTTCTACGTTGTTTACTGTGGTGAAGGTCAGATGCGTTATTTTATATTTTCCTAAAATTTAAGAAATTGTGTCTGCGCCAAAATTCTCACAGGCAGCAAAACTCACCTGATTATCCTCAGTAACTTGACGTTAGATTTTAAACGGGAAGGTTCAACGCACACCTACATAGGTATAACAGATTTAAGAAGAGTAGATAGATTGCTTCTACAAGGTTCTTTTTATCACTTTGCTGCTTATATGCTAGCTTCTTCATCTGCCGCTCCACCTTCAACTGATGATTTCAAGAACAATGCGATGCGTTTTAAAAGACTTTAAATAACTTCGCTGAAATTAAAAATCTTTCTGTCTACAATAAGTCGTATCGGGCACTCTTATTTGTTCAGGTTGTTCAAGCTTTGTCGCTTCTCATTTCTTCCACGCTTCAGGAACTTTATTCCAGCTGTAGCAAATTATCATCGATATCCTTCCACAACCTAGTAGCTTCCTACCATTTATAACGTCAGATCTAGGCAGGCGCAATGCGACTAGGGTGGTATGGTATAATTTTTATAAATACAGTATAGCGCCATTATTGATGTATTTGAGACAATTTAAATCTGGTACCTGATGAAATGAAGATTTGTTTCCTTAGCCTTTTGTAACCCCACTCAAAAAGATTGACACACTTGTATGCAAGTTAATTACATCGTGTATCAAACTGCATTGTGGAATGCTAGTCACATACTTGGAAAGTAACGGTTATCGGTAATGCATTAGGCTTTTATTAAATGTGTTGTGAAAATTAACGCTTACGTTGCATATGGAACGGTCCTTCGACTCCTCCAAGTTTTGTATTTTACTAAAATTGCGACGCTGGTTTCGCCCATTTTCTAGTTGCAATTCCTTCTTTATATTGCACGCAACGTTCAAGGGAATCCAAGACGTCGAGGTATTAGTTGAGCAGTATTTGTCGGCAAATGGGTACGTTCCATATTTAAAGATAACCTGATCACTTTCATGCATGTGGCTCTCGTTGAAAACTTGAACAAGGTTTCCTATAGCAATAAAACCTACATTCCAAGGAAGTTTCTCAACAAGGTTCAGTATAAAAATTCTCTTCTCTAACTCCCGTTGTGTCTTCAACCAGTTCAAAATTGTGCTCCGCAGCATAAAAATTGTTTTTTCTGAAAGTCTTCCATTAGTACCACCGTTCCACCATCCCTTGTGCTCTGTATCATAAAGCCTGCCCATTACATAATACAAATGCTTCCTCGCAATCGTTTTCAAAATACAAATTAGATCACAAATATTGTTATTATTTAACATTGCAGCATGCGCTATGTCGTGGAAGAAATGTGTCCTTGCCAGTGGCGTAGATTCGAAAAGTAAGTCCATACTTAACCCTACTACTGCGGCAACAAGACAGGCACTACACTCTCCACAACTGGAGGTCGAACATTGACTAACGATAGAGGACATTCAGCACAGTGTGACACCAATCGATCAGCCAGCAAAATAAGAGGACAGCGTTGACTGCGGTTAGCAATAAGGAATACCTACACAGCGCGAATATAGCAAAACAAACCAGTACTTAAAACCTGAGTGTAATGCAGTGTTTATTCTGGCAACGTATCATGCCAACGTGAAGCCTGAGAAAGTATATATTTGCTGTTACGCCGTGCAAAGCACCTACAAATGGGCATGCAGCTGCCAATAATTAAATGCAAGTATACGGGTATTTGCACTTTAGATTATTATTTCGTGGGTCATTCCCCATAATGTTTAAAGTGTGCAACTAATACTCACAATGAGGCTACATTTCTAAGAATTATACCGTTAGGTTGACAAATTTCAATACGCTAATTTCTATACCGTTTTACTTTAGCTTATTTGATGGCAGCATGCAACTTATTACATACATGACGTGCATTTATTTTTGCACAAATATTCATAAAAAGGTTAGCTCTGCCACTTGTTTCTTTGTGGTTTTGCCCAAGGGAATTATTATACGTAAGCCATGTTAATAATGTTCCAGTAAATGCCCAGAATTTAAAAAAATTACTCCAGCCCGCATGCATTTGAATGCGCGCGATAGACAAGCTAGTGGCGGGCACTCAATAAGGTTTAATTTGTTCACCGTAGATTGTTCCTAAATGTTGCAAATTTTGTGTGGTTTTATGCTCTAAATGATCCTGAATCACATAGAAAGTTCAAAATTCTTCGAGATACGGCAAAGTGGTGAGTGAATAAGAAGCGGACTACGGTGATCTCCATGGTACAAATATAATAGCTTACTTGCACATCGATAACCCAAAATTAACCAAACCTGCAGGAACAGGAATGCACTTCAGCCATTTCGCCTAAATCTTTACTTTGCTTCGTCATCGAATACTGAAGTGGAGGCAGATATAGAATAATAATCTACATGTAATGCCATAAGTAGCCTAAGGAGTTAAGTAGAATTGAGGTGACACCTGATTATTAGCATGTTTATCATCGTGCCTGCTTTTCCGTTTCTGTTGTAATCACTACATTCGGCTAGCTGTACTCTGAAATCTTGCAGCCGGCTGCTAAATTTGGTTTGAATGCCCCTAAGAGATCAATGACGCTAGCCAACTCAAGGTTAATCTATGCTTATGCCCGATTGACGTTACTATGATGCAATAGACATGCCGCAAATCTAGATGTATTTGGCCTACATGAGAATAATTATACCTTGATTGTTCTAATCTGGCCACAAGATGAGACTAAGCCGGTGCTGGAATACTGGCGTGAATTACTTGCTTGCGGCAAAGGTTGATTTTGCTCTTTTGATCAGCAGTTGAAGCTGCTACGAAGCGGTAAACCTTTCACACTTTTAATTTAGGTTGTTTTTTGAGCAGCACACAAACTTTAGTTTTTCCATTTTGGTCCCTCTATGGAGCTAGCTTGCTTCACCAGGGCAGTTGTCACCAGAATGCTAGCCGTCTAAATGACCCTGGCCAGTTATCGGGTGTTTCCTTCATCTCTGGATGGACACTGAAGTCATTGGTGGAAGAGCGTAGGAATGTCTACTTTTAGTTAGGTCGCCACCAGCCCAATTCTAATGACACGTACATCATCGCGAAATATAGTTCTTGGGGAATCGGGGCAGTAGCAATGAATTATAGGAACTCGGTGTGTTCGTGTAACTAAATTGTATAAGGTATACTTCGTTGGACTATAATATCTTGTAGACGGCTTCAATCTTTTAATATCCAAGGCGATGGGAAGACATTGGAACGGACTTTGCTACTACTTGATTTAAAAGACCTCATTTGCGACCTCCTGTGCTGACACCTATAACGAGCCGGCAAACTTGCTGTAGTTTTTCTAATGTTCACCTCATATTTCACTACTAATAATGATGAGGACACAATGCTGACAGTAGTAAATAAATAAAATAATAATACACCATTGATAAAAATAGGCACATCATTTAAGGCATGAGCAACTAAACACAGCAAGCACAATTTCCTTGGAATTCTAAAAAGTTTGCTTCTAGAAGGCACGAAGCGAACGTTTCGTAATTTGCACACGTTAACCTTTTGCGAATAATAATGGGATTAATGGAGTTGACGGCGCTGGTGCGTGGAATAATTAACGTTGCAACCTGTGGTTGCAATAGACAAAATTCAGTGGAATTACGCTAAGCTGTAATCTATGGTTTCCTTAGAAGCTGTACCAATAGGAATGCTTTTTACTATTGCTTCCGAAAAAATTGTGTGCGGGTATTCTTGTCTCCAATAAGTCCTCAGGGTTGACATTGCTAGTAAAAGTACCCCTTCACTGTTTTCATCTTAAAGCGGTTGCGTATTTTTCTAAGGAAATGATTGTCAAGTAGAAGAAAACTACGTATTTCGGGTAAATTATTGGCAACGCTTTTTAATATATGTGATATAGATGGTTTGTAAATCTACTAGGGTTCTGCGAAGAGATCATAGGGGGATAGTACTGGAAGAGACTTTTAGGTTCGTGGGATGAGAAAGCCGTTAATGCCATGATGAACAGCACGTATTTGTCCAATACAAAATCGAAATTCTGCCAGCGGTAAATATCAACAGTAATGGACGAAATAGCCATCCGAGGTGAAGTTAGTGATCCTATAAGGCTTTCAGAGTAAAGCCAACAAAGTAGCGGGTTAAGGATATGTTTGTAACAAATATGAAGTCTGAAATCAGTTGTTCACTCCTGTCCGAGGGAAAACGTTGGCCATTCGCACAGCCAGGCGTGTTGACGACACAGGTTCTATCAGCCGTATTTGTACTACAAATCTCTATAATCTTCTGGCTGGCTAGCCGAACAACCTCCTCGTGGTGTCAGCTGGGTGGTTCGGGTTTATCCCGTTCCAGCAAATAGTTCGGCGGCAGTGTTCCAGGACGTGGTGGGTTTCGCCTGGCAAGCATTCTTTCTATAAAAAGCCACAAATGTCTGCTTAACAACACTGTGACGTGGCGGTCGTGACTCGCCACAAAATAAAGTCACTGCCCCGTGGATATCGGGATAATTTTCTCCAACCCACGGACACCAATCTCCTACTCGCATGTTGATGACGATATCAAACATTGGAGATTGGAGCAGCACAACTATAAGCACAAAATGCATAGCTGCAAACACATACACACACAATGACGTACATACCTACCCCCTACACAAACACAAACTGCCATGGCAAACATATCGGATTTTTGGACATTCTTGATCATGCATCGTTATGTCAAAATGATCATGCCTGTAAAGGCGTGCCTCATCTTGTTGAGAATAAAAGATTTATTTATTTATTTATTTAGAAGTGCCATCCGTCTAACTTGGAGCATGAAACCCACTTGAAATTTTACGTTTTTAGGCTAACAGGAAAATGTTCTGTCCGCATCAGAGCTTCTCAACAGTATATAAGTAAAGATGAGTGTTGTTGCAGCATCAGCTAATTCCTGAGTACGGCCCTTCTTGTGACCATGTACATTTCTGTCAACATTTCGGGGATAGAGGTAACGAACGGAAAGCAGCCAATTAGACAGGCAAGCGCGACCGCAACATGAAGCTTGGATTACTCGCAATAGTGTCTTAATTAATGAAGCGTAAGGTGCGACAAAACTATCATTTATATATGCAAACTCCACCTGTTCTCAGTTCCTGGTCCAAGACAAATATAAATTTGCGGATGTTTGGGAGAGCATCGGATGCGTATGGATGTAAGAACCGACAAGGTGCTTGGCATAGTCCGAACCGTTTAAGTCGCAGTCTGCTGAGAGCTGCAAGGACTCAAGTTGGACAACTGACTTAACCGCTCCGCCACTATAAGCTTAACTTCCCTCCAATTTAATGAAAGGTAAAGACGGATAAATAAGCGGGACACACGTCGATCGTGTAAACGTAAATTTCCGCTCCGAAAGTTTGCAGTTGGAAGAGACAGGATAGGTTCAAGGTTAATATCGCAAATTAATTTGTGGTGAACAAGACCAACACGCTTAGGTAGGTAAAATGAAGTGAGTCTGTTGAACCTAGATAGTACAGACCCGATAAACTTGAGAAGTCAGAAAAAGGCAACGGGTCAGAAAAACTCGTTTTGAGCGGAAGCTTTTGCGTGAGCAGTACAATTGAGGTTGTAAAATGTGGAAAAAAGGTAGAATATTTTAGGCAATAGATCAAATAGTCACGATTAATACAATGGGAATATGACCAGCAGCCTAAGAAAGATATATGGTTATCGTGGTAGTTTTGACTTCCCTACGTAGATAAATAAATATTTAAAGAATTTATTCTCGATAAGGCGAGCACGCCTTTGCAGACATGCTCATTTTGGCATGACAATGCGTGATGAAGAATGTACAAAAATCCGATATGCTTGCCATAACAGTGTGTTTCTGTAGGGGGTATGTAAGTATGAAATTGTGTGTGTATGTAGCTGTGCAGTCTCACTAGTCTGGAAACAGTCAGAGAGCTTAAGTCAGACGAGCCCACATCATTGAACCGCTTTGAGAGAAAGCTATTTGACTGAAGTGGGAAAACAATGAGGGCGCGAACAGGAAAGGACAGTTTTGGGATGAGAGGATATTTTGATTAAGTTGAACGATGATATCAAGTCTAGCAAGTTAGCTTGATTAAGGTGCTAGGTCTGCCGACCATAAATCCTTGGCGTCTCAACAATCGGTGGGAAATTAGCTAGCGGCAGTGCGGTCAGACTAGACAAGAGCACTGTAACGCATTGATAATTTGGAGTTCAACTGAAGTGCAAATGCAAACACAGTAGGCAAACAGGAACGGACAAGTTCGTGACAAAGAAAATTCTAACGATAAAGCATTATTGATCTTAACAATTCTGTTATGGTAAGCTAAATATGGTGTGCATACTGCAGAATCTAGATTATTAACCTCTTAGAACTCTGGAAGATATCGGAGAGCAGAAAACCGGTCAGCCGAGATTATAGCATTACGGCTCAAGGAGATTAAGCGAACGATTT